GGTTACATGAACATTTAAAATCAAATTTTAAAAACTAACACAATTAATGAAAAAGTCTTTAATGTGAAACTATATATCTGGCCACAAAAACAGCCCCACTGAGTCACAAAAGTTAGTTAATACTTTAGTGTAACAAACACAAAATAGCCCTAGCTGGCTTGGCTCAGTAGATAGAGGGTCCCAGGTTTGATTCCCATCACAGGCACATGCCTGCGTTGTCTCCAGTGGGGGTTGTGCAGGAAGCAGCCAATCAATGATTCTTTTGCATCGTCTCTCCCTCCCTCTCCCCCCCCCCCCCGGTTCCTCTCTGAAATCAATAAATTTTTTAAAAAAACAAACACACAAAATAATATTATATACAGCATCATATTTAGGAAGGCCTGTCACCCAAGATTGCAGCAATGTATAAATGTAACTAAAGTCCCTTATCACTTAGGATAGACACCGGCAAAGTTCTCCATAAAGAGCCAAACAGCAAATAGTTTAGGCCACATACTATCTCTGGTGCATATTCTTGTTGATTGGTTGGTTGGTTGGCTGGTTGGTTGGTTGGTTGATTTAAGGAACTCTTTATAATATAAAACCATTCTCAGCTCATTGTAGTTAGTAAGATAAACATAAAAAAAACAGGCCTTAGAAGCAAAGGGGATAGTAAAACACATTGATTTTTGCATCTAGGTGTTTGAATTAATACTAAAGTAAAAGTGTTTATTTATATGGATAAAAGTTAAAAAATCTGAATCCAGTCAAAAATTCTCTTAATTAGAAATAAAGAATAGTCAGAATATAATACAAAGGGGGAGGGGGATATCGACTAATTACTTACAGGTTGCTTGGACTTTGAATCTTAACAGGTTGATATTTGTATTTAGACTGTATTTCTCAAATTTCATTTACAAATCATGTTTCCAAAAGTCTACTTACACGTTCTTCTCGTCCTTCAGCAAGGATAACAACAATCCTGCCTTGACGTTTACGGCCAGTCCTACCCATTCGTTGTATAAGACGGATTGGGCTCTTTTGGGCATCAAAACATACTATCAGATCAACTTCTCCTATATCCAAACCTTCTTCACCAACACAAGTAGAAACCAATGTATTATAACCACCACTACGAAATTGTTTCACTACCTAAAATAAAAATGATTTAAAAATAATTAAATGCAAACAAAAGAATTGTAGGTCAAAATAAACAGGTTAACTTTGCCTTAAGCAAGCCCTGCCCATTGCTTTTGTGCATCTAGGTTAACAAACCTATGAAATGCCTCTTTTTGGACCCCTCAAGAGAGCACATAATCTTAACTATCCTATAATCCAATCCCCTACCTCATTATCTCCCACCTTGATTTAATCTTCCTAACTCAGTGTTTCTCAACCTTCTGGCCCTTTAAATACAGTTCCTCATGTTGTGACCCAACCATAAAATTATTTTCATTGCTACTTCATAACTGTAATGTTGCTACATAACCCAACATAAATCGTAATGTAAATATCTGATATGCAGGATGGTCTTAGGCGACCCCTGTGAAAGGGTCATTCGACCGCCAAAGGGGTCTCGACCCACAGGTTGAGAACCGCTGTCCTAAGTGTTCCCCCTTAACGTCAAAAAGAAACTGTGAAACTGTCATTGTCCAAAGTACTTGAAATCTTCCTGCCACTGTCATCAGTTTGGCTCAAATAAACAAAAACTCTCTACAAGTTTGGACGTTCTTACATCAACAAATTCATACCTTACCTTTTATCCTGTTATTCCAGTGAGGGGTAACAGAATATATAACACAAAATATAACTGTAAATGTTGTTAAATTATTTTTTACATCTCTTTAATAGTCTTCTATAATATAACTAGTTAATAAATTAATAAATAATATCAAACAACTTCATTTTTAGTTAACACACATAAACTAACTTATTTATATGCCTAGGATTGATATTACTTTGGCTAGAGTCTGAAAAATAAATAGGAATCAGAAATTATTTAATTAATCAGACAAAGGAATAGTGATTAATTAAATAACTTCCACCAGGACTTATAATCTACTGATCCTATTATTTTTCACTGCTTACCCTTTAACCTAACTTAAATTCTACTCCCTTGCTTCTCTCTCACTCCATATTCCTCTGACTAAACTCTAACACTGGGTATAGCCTTACTTTCTACAGTCTGAGCCTGTAGCCTGCAGCTGAATGTGGCTGCAGGAAAACAAAGAACCATGCTTACTGATTTCACACTAACTCAATCTCTCACCTTGGATGGGCCCCTGGTGTTATCTGAAAATCGTTTCATATTTTCCTAATCCATTCAGCCTCCCCATTTCCCTGAATAACTGTTTCCTATTTTCTCTCTCATCAAACTTTCAACATTTCCTCCACATCCTCACTCTCAGCTGATGACACTGCAAAAACTTACTCTCTGAAATCAATAAAATACATTAAAAAAAAAAAAAGACCTTCCAGCCCTGACCAGTGTGGCTCAGTTGGTCAGGTGTCATCCTATGCACCAAACGCCAGTTCGATTCCAGGTCAGGTCACATGTCCAGGTTTCCGGTTTGATCCCCGGCGGGGGATCAAATAAAAACATATTTAAAAAAGAAAAAGAGCCCTAGCTTGTTTGGCTCAGTGGATAGAATGTCAGCCCTCAGACTGAAGGGTCCCAGGTTCAATTCTAGGCAGGGGCATGTACCTTGGTTGCATGCAGGCTTGATCCCAGCCCTAGTCCTGGAGCTTGCAGAATGCAACCAATTGATGTGTTTTTCCCACATCAATGTTTCTCCCCCTTCCTTCCACTTTAAAAATCAATAAAAAGCCCTAGTTGGTTTGGCTCGATGGATAGAGCATCGGCTTGTGGACTGGAAGGGTCCCAGATTCAATTCTGGTCGGGGGCACATGCCTAGGTTGTGGGCTCAGTCCAATGTGTAGGAGGAAGCCAATCAACGATTCCCTCTCATCATTGATGTTTCTATCTCTTCCTCTCCCTTCCTCTCTGAAATAAATTAAAAAAATATTTTTTTAAAAAAATCAATGGAAAAATAACCTCAGGTGAGGATTAACAAAACAATTAAAATTTTTTAAAAAAGGAAAAAAGATCTTCCACAAGGTATCACTGCCATGTCTACCCATCCCGATACCTGTGCCTATATGTCTACCTTCACCCCTGTTGTTTTGGGTAAACTATCCGTGTTCTTAACTGAGGTCCAGTCCTAGGGTTTTGTACCAGATCCTGTCCCTTTTCCTCATCTACTCAAAGGTCATTCCAGCAATACTCTTCTCTCTGCTCTATCATCAATTTTTCTTTCTCAACTGATCATTACTATCAGCACACAAGCGTATTGCTACATAACCCAACATAAACAGAAAACCACTTCCATCTTTGCTCTCCTTTATAGCAACACTAGAGGCCCGGTGCATGAAAATTCATGCACTCAGGGGGGTAGGGGAGTCCCTCAGCCCAGCCTGTGCCCTCTCACAGTCTGAGACCCCTTCGGGGATGTCCACCTGCTGGCTTAGGCCTGCTCCCAGGGTATTGGGCCTAAGCTGGCAGTCAGACATCCCTCTGGCATCCCAGGAGCCCTTGGCAGATGTCCAATGGGGAGCATGCCTAAGCCGTTTGTCGGACATCCTTAGCGCTGCCTCAGGTGGCAGAGGTCCTGCGACCATTTAAGTCCTTGGGTTTCTGTTTCCTCAATGTGTCCTTTCAAAGTTCTGTTTTATTAACTAGAGGCCCAGTGCAGACATCTGTGCACTCAGGGGGGAGGGTCCCTCAGCCCGGCCTGCACCCTGTCGCAGTCGGGAGCCCTTGGGGATGTCCGCTGACAGCTTAGGCTAAGCCGCAGTCCCACATCCTTAGTGCTGCCCTGGAGGCAGGCCGTTGCACTTGCCAACCATCAGCCCAGCTTATGGCTGAGTGGTGCTCCCCCTGTGAGCAGGCACTGACCACCAGGGGGCAGCGCCTGCATTGAGTGTCTGCCACCTGGTGGTCAGTGTGCGTCATAGCAACCGGTTGTTCCCCATCATTCCGTTGTTAGGGTCAATTTGCATATTACCCTTTTATTAGATAGGATTCCTTGAAAGACTTGTATAGTTGCTATCTCCAGCTCTTCTCAATGCTGACTTATCTCCACCATTCCACTAAAACTATTCTTTTCAAGCTGGTTTGCCTTCTCATCTCTTAATTCAATTCCCAGTTATCATTTTATATGACCTATTAGCAGCATTTACACATGTAATCCTCCACCTCCTCCTTACTTGGCCCCAGATACCACATTCTCCTGGTCTTTCTCCTATTTCACTAGCAACTTATTCTGGTTCCCTAGGGAATCATAATCATTGCAATTATCTATAATAAAAGCATAATACAGTGGGGTCCTGACTTACAAGTTTAATTCGTTCCGTGACGGAGCTCGTAACTCAAGTTACTCGTATGTCAAATCAAAAGTGAACGAGTGAGACACGTGATGCTGAGCTGATGTTGTGGCGTTCACTGTGACGTTCGCTGCGCCAACTAGCGGTGGGGTATTTGAAGCTGGCTTGTAACCCAAATTTTAGCTAGCAACTCAAAGCAAAAAATCGGCTGAGAGACGGCTCGCATCTCGAAAAACTCATTAGTCGGGACACTTGTAAGTCAAGGCCCCACTGTATGCTAATTAGACCAACGTCCTTCAGGATGAAGCTGGAACTGTGAGGGAAGCCCAGGTTCTGGATGCCAGAGGGAAGCTGGTGCCAGCAGCCGGGGGAAGGCCTATTCTTGCACAAATTTTGTGCATCGGGTCTCTAATCCTATATAATAAAGGGGGAATATGCAAATTGACCATCACTCTGCCACAAAGATGGCGGCGCCCACAGTGGAGGCCAAGTTTCCTTAACGAGCCTTATCAAGCAATCAGCGGGGACCTGAGGCTGCATTGCCTCCCCCCAGCTTCCCAGGGGACCTCAGGCCACGCCCCCCCACCTTGGCGCCAGGCCAGGAGACCTCAGGCCATGCCCCCCACCAAGCAGGGCTTGATGGGGGACCTCAGGTCATGCCCCCCGCCTGGCAGGGCTTGACTGAGGGCCTCAGGCCATGTCCCTCTTCCTGGCAGAACTTGATGGGGGACCTCAGGCCATGCACCCCCGCCCCAACACCAGGCCAGGGGACCTGAGGCCACACCCCCTGCCCCGGCCCCAGTCTGGGGGATCTGAGGCCGTGCCCCCCGCCTGGCAGGGCTTGACCGGGGACCTGAGACTGCACCCCCTCCCGGCAGGGCTTGATGGGAGATCTCAGGCCACGCCCCCCGCCCAGCAGGGCTTGACAGGGGATCTCAGGCTATGACCCCCACCTGGCGGGACTTGACAGGGGACCTCAAGACACGCCTCCACCCCGGCCCAGGCTGGGGCACCTCAGACCGCACCCCCTGCCCTGGCGGGGCTTGACAAGGGTGGG